TTGACTGGAGTTGCTTCAGCAAGTTGGTGTGTGGGGATTGACATCCTTCAGGAGCTGTGGAGTGGACTCTGAACTTCCCCGTGGAGCTGGGAGTGCTTAGACACGTGAATTGGTTAATATTACAGAGTTTAACTTTGGGTTAAAAATGGTATCCAGCAAAGCTTCCTGCAGAAGACAGAACTGCTGAGCCCTTCCCCAGAGCAGAGTGGGGGAACCAGGCTGCACACGTGGCCAGGACGTCACTGAGCAGAGTGGGAAAAGGCTTTTGTGTTGTGGTGTGCTTGTCAATCCAGATCTTGCTTTAATGCTCTTACATAGATACTCTGTAAAGATAGAATAGATATTTGTATAGATATTCTGTTCTCTTTCTAGGGAGAGTTTTGCTTCAGGTACAGCTTCATTGTGAAATGCAGAACATTTCCAGAGATGATTCAAACTTCATGTTGTGCTTTAAATTTGGTTTGGTTTACAGTAAATTCGTGCTTTGAGTGTATTGGCTGTTTGTGAATTTTCAGTTGGGCTCTATCTCTTCCTAAAGTGACACCTGACAGCTTCCATGGCCAGCGTCAGGGAGGGTGTGAATTGTCCCTGTAACTTGTTTGTGAAGCTCCCAGGCTGCTTTTCCATGCCTTGTACCAGCAATAGTTCTCCTGGGGATTTAAATCCTGCTGGAAACTGTGCAGGAGTAAGTTTGGAAAGGGGGGAGTTTGTGATGGGATGGATCAGTCCCAAGGGCACAGGGAAGTGTCTGAGGCTGGAGTGCAGAGGCAGCTCTGCAGTTCCTCAACAGGAAGCTCCTGCTGACGTTAATCACTTTAATCACCCAGGCAGGAGCCTTGGCTGTGAAGGAAGTGCTCATCTCTGAACGTGCTCTTTTAATGTGGCTGTTAATTCTCCGTAGTAAACTTTGATTAAATGTGGGTTTGCTTCCTACAGAAGGTCTCTCTCCACTGTTAATGAAAGTAACTGCTCTGTGTTTATGTGCTGTTCACAGACCATTTCCTCGGGCATGGAGGGGAAGGAAGCTGTTCTGAGTAGGAGAAAATCCAAGCTGCATTCAGAGCTTCCTTCCCAAAAGAAGGACCAGCTATTGCTGTGCAAAGCAAAAACTTGTTATCTGCAGTTCAGCTGGGAAAAGTTTATTTAATGGTGACACTTTTCTGCAGATAAACTGTCCCGTAACAATGGGGAGCAAAGTACCTGAAGTGGTCAGCTGCATGAATTTTGCAAGCAAAAGTTTAAGGACAGCAATTAATGCTAAAATGTCTAAAATAATATTTGAAGCATTTCAAGCACTTAAAACTGGGTTATTTCATGAGCACCGAGTTTTGGCACATCTGTTCATCTTTGTGTTGCTTCAGTGGTGGCTGGGGTGTCTACAAATAATTCACATTCTCTCTTATTTTGGTTTTTTTTCTGTTTTTTTTTAATGTCATGGTCAGAACACAACTATTGGAAACTCATGAGTGATACTCTGATCTTTTTTTCCTCCAGACTTCACTGGCCAGTGAGAACATATCTCAATCATGGGAAATATTTTTGCTAACCTCTTCAAAGGCCTTTTTGGCAAAAAAGAAATGCGTATTCTAATGGTTGGCCTGGATGCTGCAGGAAAGACAACTATTTTATACAAACTTAAACTTGGTGAAATAGTAACTACTATTCCTACTATAGGTAAGAATTTTATGTTTCTCTCACTGATGGCTTTGAGATTTGAGTCTCAGCTGATTAAATGACTTGTCTGTCAGAATAAAAACACTTGCTAAAGCTGAGGTGTGAAGGTGGCACAGCCAAATATTCTGCCATGGGAGGAGGTAGTGACTCTTTTCTCACTCCCCTCCCTCTCATCAGTCACTTGTGGAATGAGCCTTTGTGGGCCATAGAAAAGCAATTTGTCTCCCAGGCTGTTCTGGCATCGTGTCAGTCAGACTGAGTAGCAGAGGTTTCACCTTTTTTTTTCCTCTTTTTATTGGAGGGTATTGAGATTTGCAGTTCTTAAAACCCAGGGGAGGTTGGGAGTTTTTTTGTTTGTTTGGAAGGTTTTCTTTAAGGCCACATAGTTTATTTTTTGTAGCTGCTCAGGTAGCAATTAGATTTGTTCATTTAGTGATGGTGGGAGCAGGACAAGCTGTGTTTGTCTGCTTCAAGAGCTCCAGCACAGGGTTCTGCTGGTTCAAAGTAATTCCAATTTTAAATGAACTTTTTAAAATCACAGCCTGAGTGATAAATACAACAGTTGTGCTATGTTTAAGTGAGATTTGTGGCACAATCTCTGTTTTAGGTTTCAATGTGGAAACAGTAGAATACAAGAACATCAGCTTCACAGTGTGGGATGTGGGCGGTCAGGACAAGATCAGACCACTGTGGCGCCACTACTTCCAGAACACACAAGGTGAGTCCACACTCCCGATTCCCAGCTTTTCCAGAGTCCAAGAGAGCTTTTTGGCTCTCTGCATTAAGATAATTCTGCAAGTTTCTTGGAGGGGAGTGGAAATATTTATTATTGTAAAAGGGTGTGTTTGTGTGCTGCTTTGGCTTTTCTCTTAAGCCGCTGCAGGTTCAAAGAGGGATGGGAAGAATTCCAAAAACCAGTCTTCCTTGTCCTTGTGACTCAGAGCGAGTTCAGGAGTTTGTTTTTTCTTCTGTCAGCATTACAGCTCTGCCCTCACTTCAAAGCAGAGTCTTTACTGAAAGCTCTGCAGCCCCATGAACTGGGAGTTTGTCACTTCTGTCACTGTGCATGTCTTTGAGTCTTGTCACAGCATTTCAGGAGCTGCTGCTCCCTGGAAAATGCCAAGTGGTTATGTAGAAGGAGTACCCAAGTTGCAAAGACAAATGCAAACCAACGCTGGTTTTCACCAACTTTCAGCAAGAACAGACTTTCTCTCAGACACGAGATTTCAAGTTTATGTTTATTCTTGTTTGCATATTTCTAGGTCTGATTTTTGTGGTTGACAGCAATGACAGAGAACGTGTGAACGAGGCCAGAGAAGAGCTTATGAGGATGTTGGCAGAAGATGAGCTCAGAGATGCTGTTTTATTAGTGTTTGCTAACAAACAGGTATGCCCAAGAAAGGTGTCTGTCTGTCAGAACCCTTGAAAACTTTCAATGTCCTTGTGGGTGCCAGAAAATAACCTTGATTTTCATATTTTCAGTGTAGTGGTAGATAACTCAGAATAAATGGCCATTTAGGTATGTTGAAGGGAGAAAACCATAGATGAAATTCTCATCTAAAAGGAGCAACCTTCTATACAGTCTTGGCTAAGAGATTTTCAGTTTTAGTGAAAACCAGTTTGATTTTTAAGGTTGATGTAACTCGGTTACAGCACCTGCCCAAACTTCCTCCAGAGAGGAATGCTGGAATGCCAGAACCTCCCTGAATTCCTCATTGATGGTGTTTGAGGGCACTCCTGGTGTTGGTGGAAGCGCTGGAGTTTTAATGTGCTTGTGTTGATCTGTGAGCTGGGCTCTCCCAGGCCTCAGAGTTAGCTGAGAATTCTACCTTTTATTGCTTGTAGAAATCTTGACAGCTTAACCCCAAATGTCAAGGGCCTGAAATGTGACCAGGAAATGTAAAGAGAGGGAATAAGATCCTGCTCCACTGCACAGCCTCAGCTGGGAAGGGGAAGGTGCCATAAGTCATGTCCAGGAGCAGGAAAGGTGGGCTCTAAAGAAGCTGTGCTCAGCAGAGTAGTGATAAAAGTTGATTTTAAATCACACCTGCAGTGTCAGAAAGTGGAAACAGACTTGGAATTGTGAGCAGTATCAGCGCTGGGGGAATGACTGGATCCAGGCATCAGCCGTCTCTCTTCCCTATGAAATATTCCATGATGTTGATTTAGATTGGGTTGTTAAACCTTGGAGGCTCTTGTCAGTGTTGGGGAAATAGCTGGAATATCAAAGTAATCCACTGGGGTTTTCTGAAAGAGGAGTTGTGAGAGCTCTTAACTTTGCTGTAATGCCTTTAAAGCTGGTGATGAAGGAGTGGGGAATGACTGTTGTTGCTTCCCTCAGGACCTGCCGAACGCCATGAATGCAGCAGAAATCACAGACAAACTTGGACTGCATTCTCTTCGTCACAGGAACTGGTACATCCAGGCAACCTGTGCCACTAGTGGAGACGGTCTCTATGAAGGACTGGACTGGTTGTCCAATCAGCTCCGAAACCAGAAATGAAACCATAAACCTTCCTCTTCCCTCTTTTTCCACCCCTCCCTCTTATTTCCTCCTATTCGCCCTTCGCTTTACTCTAATGTGGCAAACTGTGCTACTTTGTGGTATTGAGTGCCGGAAGCTGTTTTCATTTCTTTTTGTCACAGTATATATTGCATCATGCTGTAAATGTGGCAAATACAAGCCTGAAAACAGTTAGGTTTCTTATTTAATGTAAATAGTTTTTGTTTCCAATGAGGCAGTTTCTGGTACTCCTATGCAATATTACTCAGCTTTTTTATTGTAAAGAATCGAGTCACTGTTTAGTACCTGGAAGGGAATTCAGTGGGTTAATAACGTAAGGGTTGCCAGTGGTCCTTGTGCAGTAGAGCTGGATTCGATCTCGGTTGGGTTGTGAGATCCATTTTGGTGGTTGGTTTTTAACCTGAATTCTGTATTTTTTTAAATAGACAAGGAAAAGTAAAAACACTTCAAACACACAAACGTTTGACATCGCTTCTGCTGCTCCAGCTCTAACGTGGTGACTCTTGATTCTTTCGAAAGGGTGAAGCAATGACTGACACCCAATTAGCTTCATCTGCTTAACGAACAGATCATCAGTAGTAGATCTCAGGCTCTTTCTGTAGCTCGTAGTCTGTGCTCATCTTCGTTCACAGCCGTTCAAAGATTTGCTGGGCCTGGTTTAGATGAGCTTTGCAGACTCATGCTAAACATCTGACTTTTGGTTCAGGTGAGATTTCTCGTTTCCATTGAACTTGAATCATTTCCAGAAGTCGACATTTTTAGCCTGTCATATTTGTCAGAAAGTGTTTTATACTTTTCTTGTGCGTAAACCACTCCAGAAGGCAAAACCTTTCCACAGGAAGCACAGCCTGTCCCAGTCCTAAGCTCTATAGGCAGAAAGTACTGTACTTAATGTAAGAATTGCCATGAAAAACACCAAACATCTATGTATAGTGTCTAGGGAAAAAAACAAGCATGAGAGTTTGGAGAGTCATTCCACTCTACAAGTATTCAATCCCATTTTGGAACAATCCCATGTCTGTATATGTGTGAAAACCCTTGGCATCCCTCATACTGCAAGGTTCAGATTTGCCATCAGAAAAATAAAAAAAAGACCTCTTTACTTTTCTTTTGTATTTTGATAAACACTGAAGAAGCTGGAGCTGTTAAACTTTAACTAGAGGAACTATCAGAACTGGTTTATTTAGTGTTGTGGAAACCTTTATTGCTTTCAATACACAACTAGTAATCAACTGTTTTGTATACTTGTTTTCAGTTTTCATTTCGACAAACAAGCACTGTAATTAAAGCTATTAGAATAAAATCTCTTAACTATTTCATGTTTTTTATGCCTTGCTGTTCATTCGATCATCTTGGCAGAATCATAATTAAATACTTGTTGAATAAAAAGTTTCATGAAACTTCCACTGGTATCGTGTTGGTTTGTATCATCTTCGTGCAGGGCATCCAGATCCAGGCAGCTTTTTGCCACATCATGATTTGCACAAAAATTTGATGATGTCTCTTGTATTTTCCAAGAAATTTATCATTCCTGGTTGGAACCCTGCAGCTGAAATGGTGGGTGATGCTTGCTGGGTTCTACTGGAGTCACTTTGTTGCCTCTGGGGAACAACAGCTTGAGCTTCTTGAGTAGCCCCATCACATCCCCCAACAGGTTGTTCCTCCTGCTGATCCCAGTTAATTACAGGATCTGTGAATTAGCAGTTTTGTGAGGGGGAAAAAAATAGGAATTCCACCTTCCTAAGTGCTTTGTTTTGCATTTTCCCTTTCTGCAGTTCCCTCTGGATCCAGGACAGAGCTCCTCCTCCGGGTGATCCTCCTGCCTTCCCTGTCAGCTGCAGCTTCTCCTCCCCAGGCTCAGGCTGCCTGCCAGCTCCCGGCTGTTTTCCCGGCTGGAGCTGCAGCAGATCCCCCATTACACAGGCTGGAAAGCTGCAGGATGAAAGGTCTGTCCTGCAGGTTAGAGACTGAATTCCCTGTGGGAAAACCTGGGACTCTGGGTGGGTAATGGACTGTGGCTGGAGCTGAGTACAGGGGAAATAGCAGTGGGCAAACTGGGATCACAAACCTCCTGCAAGTCAGAAATCCACCTTGGAATTTCAAGCTGTGAATCAGGATATTTGCATCCCTAATAGAGCAGGACAGCTCTTTATTCCTGTTCTGGGAGGGAATTGAACTTGAAGGGCCAGCTGGGTTAGGATGCTGTTCCTCTGCATACGGAATTTGCTGTGGAAAACAGGGAATGTGGTGATGTTACCAGAACTGTGCTCTGGGCAGCACAAGCTTTGCTCTGTCACAGGCTCTCAGCCTGGAATTTTGGTCACCAGCAGCTGGACAGCTCAAGCCCAGGGTAAAGGATCCTGCTGCATGCCCCAGGAACTCTGCAGCAGCTGGACAGGGAGGGGCTGGAGGAGCAGCCCTGGCACAGGGATGGGGCTGAGCTCCTTGACCCCCTCCCCCTCGGTTTTGGCTTCCCATGTTTCTCAAACTGATTTCCTCCGATTTCCCCAACAGGAACGGGGGGAGAACAGGAGAAAGGCCAGGAGAGCTGAAGTGAGCTGGGCCAGCAGTGCCTGGCCCCTCTGCCATGGTGCTGAGGAGCTGGGGATGCAGAGCATCCACCCCAAAACTTGGGAGGTGAAGATGGGACATGGAGCCCATGGAGGGAGCAGGACTCTGTGGGGTTTTTTTCTCCTTGCTGTGCTGTTTGTGTTCTCCCATGACTCCCTTCTCAACCTGTTGCCCAGTTCCCATTAGGCACACTCCTGCTCTGGGATGTTCCCAGCAGGCTCCAGCCACAGTTTGGATCCCAAAATCCCATGGAGCTGATGGGAGCTCAGCCTGGTGAGCAGCAGCAGCAGGGGCAGAGCTCCTGGCCAGGGAGTGCACGGGCTCAGGGCACCCCAGCTGCACCCTGGGGATCCCTGGGATGGATCAGGAGCTGCAGCTGCTCTGAGCACGACAACAGCCCCTTGCCAACCCCAAAAATCACGCTGGGGTGGGGATCACCGAAGGCTCTGCAGCATCTCCCAGTGCTGGGGCTGAGCACGCTGGGACAGAAGGGCTTTGTGAGCTCCTGAGCATGGCCCCACTGGGCTTTTGTCCACCAAGACACACAAACCCTCCCTGTCTTCAGCTGCATCATTAATTACACAAACGAGGCCCTTGTGCTTGGCAGCGACGCTCCGGAGCTGCTTGGGACAGCCCCTTTCCATTTGGATCAATATTTCTATTGACTGGTGTAAAATTCCCCTCTTTCAGTATGCCAAGAACATAAATAATGGTGTGCTGAGGGTTTCAGTCCTGGATGGGAATGGAGTTTGCTGCTCCCCGGGGTGGGTGGATGTGACCAGGGCAAAAGCCCATGGAAGACACCTGGTCCCGTCCAATTTCTCCCCCAAAAGGTGAGGAATTATTTAGTTGTCCAAAGGCTTGGACAGTGAAAGGTGTCCCTGCCCATGGCAGGGGGACTGAACTAGGTGAGCTTTAAGCTCCCATCCATGCAGCTGATGGACTTAGGGAATCTTTAAAGAAAGAAACTCTTCAGCCACTGTACTGGCAAGCACTCAAAGGCAGGGAAAGAAGACAAAACCCCATATTAATAAATAATAATAATCTCTTCCAAAGTCTCTATCCATAAACACGAGGTATCCACAGCATTTTCAGCACCACAGCGCCAGCCCACACCCACAGCATCCTCCATGCTCGATCCTGCCTGGAGGGATTTCAGGGAGTGAGGAGAAGGGTGCCAGGCCCTGCTGCCCCTGGGCGGGCAGGGAAGGGGCTGCTGGCACCTCAATGCCCTTTGCCAGACCGCCCCGGCACCCGCGGGGCTGCGGCGTTTTTCATTTAATCACCATAAAAAACACAAATCGACGGAAGATGTCCCTGAAACAGCGCCAGGCTCCCTCTCAGTCCTCCGAGTCGGTGTCGTGGCGCTGCCGGGCCCCGCGGGCGGGCGGGGAGCGGGACCTGCTCCTCTTCCTGCCCTTCCTCCGCGGGGACGGGTGGCGGCCGCGGCCGTCCCGGCTCCGGCTGCGCGGGCGGGCGGGGCTGCGGCCGCCGCTGCCCGCCGAGGATCCCGAGTCGTGCCGCCGCCGGGCGCGCTGCCGCGGCGCCGCCGAGGGCTGCTGAGCCTTCCGGCCCTGGTGCCTGCAGAAACGGCAAAATCACAGCGATCACAGTGGGCACGCCAGCGAGGTGGGTCTGGGGGGGAAAAAGGGATTTTGGAAAGCCAGGAGAGGCCAACGGAGCGTCCTGACCACGTGGCTCTCCTGAATCCTTCCCCCAAGCCAGCTACCTCTTATCCCGATCCGGGGAAGAATCGGAGGATGATGGGGCAGCATCCTTCTTGGAATGCTTCTCCTTGTCCTTCTTCTTCTCCTTCTTATGTTTCTTCTTTTTCTTGTTCTTTTTCTCCTTCTTCTTCTCCTTTTTGGATTTTTTGCTGCTGTCAGGTCTGCAGGGAAGAGATCAAGCAATGAGAATCCCTGCACTGTGCATCCCTCTGGCTCCAAAAACTCATCCCCATCCCTTTTTCCAGGCACATCCCACCACATCCCTCCTTTGCCAAAGAGAAGCCCACAGAGGCTTTTCAGGCTGATTCATAGAGATGCAAAACAAGCCCAGTGCCAAACAGAGCCACGGAAACATTTTGTAAAATATTTTCCATACAAGCCAGGGCATTTCTGGTGGTTTCCCACCAAAGTGGGAAAAATCCTCACCGTTCCTCCTCCACCTTCTCCTCCTTTTCCTGCTTCTTCTTGGAGACAGATGTCTCTGGGCTGCTGGAGACTTTCTGGTGCTAGAGTTGGAGAGGGGGAAAAATACAGAGTGAATCCATGAGCCCATAGCTTGTAATTCCAAGAGAAAGGGTTTTTCTCCCTTTAAAAATTAAGCTTGGAAAAAAAATTTAAATTACATTTGGGGAAAAAATTACAATACCCTTAAGAGCTGCTTCCAAATTAAAGCCCCACAGATGACCTCTGTGCCAACAGGACAGAGAAAACTCCTGCAGGTTTCTGTGCTACAACACCTAGGTGATTTTTTAAATGAAATATTCCAAGTGAGGGGCACTGCTTTTTGCCTTTTTCCAATCTATTTTTGAACCTTCCAAGGACAATGTGACTGGCACTGTACCGTGAAGACTGAGAGCCCCAGCTTGGCCGCCTCCCTGTCCTCCTTGGAGAGCATCACCCGGCCAGCGCTGCCACTGCAGAGAGACCACAGAAAAAAGCATAAAACCACTGAAATCCAACAAATTGTTCTGAAATTGGTGTGGGACCCTTCCCTCTCTCCTTACCTGGAGCTGCCCAAACCCACCACCCGATCCACGTCCTTCTCGTCCCGCTCGGCGCCGTCCCTCTTGCACACCTCAGCCAGGTCCTGTGGGGAGAGGGGACAGTGTCCTGTGTGTGTCCCCAAAATCAGAGCCCAGGGGACACTGGGGGGACGTGTGGTGCCCCTCTTACCTCTTTGCTGAGGCCCGTGGGCTGCCTCTTCAAGGTCTTGTAGCCACTGTAAAACCAAGAACGGGCGATACGTGTGGGGACAGGCACCTGCTGTTTCTTGGGGTTTTTGTGGGGTGAGGACTCACAGTGCTGCCATCATGGCCTCCTGCTCGGCCAGGCGGACAGCAGCCAGCTCTTCCTCCCGGGATAACGGGGGGCCTGTGTCCTTCTTGCCCTTGGCATACCAGGTCAGGTCCTTGCCCTTCTGCCACCGCCCCACCGGCGCCATCAGGGAGTTCCCTGTGGGGAACAATGACCCCCCTCAGTCAACATCACCGCACCCCAAAACTGCGGCAGAGGGGACAGGGATTGGAGCAGTATCAGCCCTTACCCAGGTAATTCTCACGCTGTTTGTCTGTCTTGACATCCTCCCAGCTGAACTGGTCCTGGCCGCCCCGGACCCCGCCCCGGGAGGAGCCGAACATGGCGCCGCACCCCGCAGCGGATTCGGGGGACCCCGGTGACCTGCGAAGAGATCAGCCCTGCCTTCATCCACTCCAGATCCTCCATGAAGATCTGGGGGGGCTCCTGAAGGTGCAGGGAAGCAAATTCACCCCCCAGGGGTCAGTGGATAAGCAAAGGCCTTTGTGGGGTGTTACAGGCTGGAAAGGGGTTCATAACCTGGAGGTGGGAGGGGGCGCACGGCTTGGGGAGGGTCCCAGCCTGGGGGGAGGTTGTTGGGGCTCAGGGCAGCCCCAAGGGGGTCCGTGGCCTCAGGGGGTTCAGAGTCTGGGCGAGTTCAGAGCCTCCAGCAGGGTTTAGGGCCAGCAGCGGGGCAGTCACAGCTTGGGGGTTTCAGGGTCTGCTTTTTGGGGGCTCAGCCTGCGGGAGCAGAATTCAGGACTAGAAATAGGAAGGCTCTGGGTCTGGGAGGAGGCTGCAGGGTTAGTGGAGAAGTTTAATGCCCTCACGGGGATTCTGGGCGTCAAGGGGGCGGGTTCATGGGCTGGAGTGGGGGTTCAGGGTCTAGGAAGGGGTCACAGCCTCGGTGGGATCAGAGCTGGGAGAGGGGGTGATGGCCTGGAGGGGATGAGAGCTGGGAGAGGGAGTGATGCCCTGGGTGGGATCAGAGCTGGGAGAGGGGTCACAGCCTGGATGGGATGAGAGCTGGAAGTGGGGGTGATGCCCTGGAGAGGAGGTCACAGCCTGGGTGGGATGAGAGCTGGGAGAGGAGGTCACAGCCTGGGTGGGATCAGAGCTGGGAGAGGGGGTGATGGCCTGGATGGGATGAGAGCTGGGAGAGGGGGTCATAGCCTGGGTGGGATCAGAGCTGGGAGAGGGGGTGATGGCCTGGGTGGGATGAGAACTGGGAGAGGGGGTGATGCCCTGGAGAGGATGAGAGCTGGGAGAGGGGTCACAGCCTGGATGGGATCAGAGCTCGGAGAGGAGGTGATGGCCTGCATGAGAGGTTGCACATCCCGAGAAGAGGCTGCACGGCCCGGGCTGGGACATTACCTGGGGCTGAGAAGGGGCTCAGGACCGGGGGAAGCTGCAGGACCTGGACGCTGCAGGGCCTGAAGTGGGAATTTGCCCGTCCCCGAGGCGTGTGGAAGCAGCTCGGGGCGGCTCCCTGCAGCCCGGGCCTCTCCGGGTTGGGCAGTGCGAGGAGCGGGAGTGCCGGACCCGCAGGATCCCACACGGAGCCCCCAAATCCCCAAAATCCCAAATCCCCCAAATCCCAACGCGCTCCCCTCACGCACCTCCGGCCGCCGAGCGCGGGCCCGCCCCGCCGCTACCACCGCGGGCACCGCCGCGGGGGGGGCCGGACGGGCCGTACCACCGCGCCGCCCAGCGCGGGGGGAGCCCCGCAGAGCCGCACCGCCGACACGCGGCTGCGTTATTTTTATTATTCGTGTATTTTTATTTAGAGATTGATACAGTTCTGGGTTCAGCGCTTCACTTCTTCCAGAACTTCTTGTAGGTGTCCAGGTCGATGCCCTCGAAGGTTTCCTCCTGCTTGGCCTTAGGCTTGCTGGGGAAGTGGCGGCGCAGACGAGCCTTGCGCTCCGCTTCGGGCAGCGTGTTGCTGTCCAGGGGCATCTGCGGACACGGGGACATGGGGCGAGACCGCGGGGACACAGTGTGACTGACACCCGTGGGACATGGCGTGAGACCCCAGGGACACGGCATGGAGCCCTGGGACCGGGCATGACCCCTGGGACACGGTGTGAGATTCCCCAGGGACACAGTGTGAGATCCCAGGGACATGGCGTGACCCCTTGGGACACGGTGTGAGATCCCAGGGACACAGCGTGACCCCTTGGGACACAGTGTGAGATCCCAGGGACACAGCATGGAGCCCTGGGACCGGGCATGACCCCTGGGACACGGTGTGAGACTCCCCAGGGACACAGTGTGAGATTCCCCAGGGACACAGTGTGAGATCCCAGGGACACAGTGTGAGGTCCCAGGGACACAGCGTGGAGCCCTGGGACCGGGCATGACCCCTGGGACACAGTGTGAGATCCCAGGGACACGGTGTGAGACCCCAGGGACACGGCGTGACCCCCAGGGACACAGTGTGAGATCCCAGGGACACGGTGTGAGACCCCAGGGACACAGTGTGAGATTCCCCAGGGACACAGTGTGAGATCCCAGGGACACGGTGTGAGATCCCAGGGACACGGCATGGAGCCCTGGGACCGGGCATGACCCCTTGGGACACAGTGTGAGATCCCAGGGACACAGTGTGAGATCCCAGGGACTCACTGTCACCTGCCATCACCCATCCTCAGCCACCGGGACAGGGTGTGACCCCCCCGGGACAGTGTGAGATCCCAGGGACACGCTGTGAGATCCCAGGGACACGGTGTGACCCCTTGGGACATGGTGTGAGATCCCAGGGACACAGCGTGGAGCCCTTAGGACACAGTGTGAGATCCCAGGGACACGCTGTGAGATCCCAGGGACACAGTGTGAGATCCCAGGGACTCACTGCCACCTGCCATCACCCATCCTCAGCCGCCGGGACAGGGTGTGACCCCCCGGGACACTCAGGCCCGCAGCCCCGCGGCCGTGCCCGTACCATGAGGATCCTCTTGGGCTCTCGGTAGCGCAGGCGGACGGTGGAGCCGTCGGTGCCGACCAGCAGCACGGGGTAGCGGCGGCCGTAGCGCTGCCGGTGCAGGTGCCCGATGGCGGCGCGGTTGGAGCTGCTGCGGGCGCAGGCGGCGGCCGTGAGGCGCAGGGCACTGCCGGGGGAAGCGGCACAGCGCCGGTGTCACCGTGCGGGCGGCAGCAGCGGGCAGAGCTGCCAGCGGGCACAGCCGGTGCTGCCCCGGGGGCACGGGCACTCCGCCTCACCTCAGCGCCCGGCTCGCCATCTCAGCGCACGGAGCAGAGAAAGGACACACGGAAAGGTCCCGGCGTGGCTGTGGGGTGACACCCCCGTGTCGCCATCGCTGTGGAGCTGCCGCATCCCCTCCGCAGCACGGAGCAGCGCCGCCACAGCCCCGGGCATGGCACGGCCCCCCCCGCCTTCGCCATGGTTCACCCCGCCGTGGTTCCCCCCATTCCCGCAATGGTTCATCCCCACGTCTCCCCCGCCCTCGCCATGCTTCACCCATCTACGTTTCCCCCCATTCCCGCAATGGTTTAACCTAACCCTAACCCTAACCCTAACCCTAACACTAACCCTAACCTAACATGGGTCCCCCCATTCCCGCAATGGTTTAACCTAACCCTAACCCTAACCCTAACCCTAACACTAACCCTAACCCTAACACTAACCCTAACCCTAACCTAACATGGGTCCCCCCCATTCCCGCAATGGTTCAGCCCCACGTCTCCCCCGTCCTCACCATGCTTCACCCATCTACGTTTCCCCCCATTCCCGCAATGGTTTAACCCAACCACGTCTCCCCAACACGTCTCGCCTTGCCCAGCCATGTGTCAGTTCCATGACAGCTCCCCCCTCTCCCCGCCATGGTTCAATCCCATCACGCCTCCCCTCCGCACCCATCTTGGTTCAGCCCTCCCGCCTCTCTCCAAGCACGCTTCAACCCCACCATGCCTCCCGCCACCCCACCGTGCTCCCCTCTACCCCGCCATGGTTCAGCCCACGTTGCCCCCTCCGTTCTCCCACAACTACCCCCCCCCCGCCCCGCCACTATCATGGTTCATCCCCAGGCACCCCCGCCCGGCCCCGCCGTGGTCCGTCCCGCCGTCCCGCACTCACGTCAGGCGCGCTCCGCACGGCCCCGCCCCCGCGGTGACGTCAGGCGCGCGGCGGTGGCGGCGGGCGCGCGCGCGCGGGGGCTGCCGGGACCGCCCCCCCCCTCCCCAAATCCCCTCATGATCCTCGGGCGGATGCGCGGGGCGGGCATCGCCCGGGCGGGTGAGCGGGGACGGGCTGGGAGCGCAGCCTGAGGGGCGCAGGGGGCCCAGAGCCTCACGGGGGCTGCGGGCAGAGCGGGTCCCACCGGCCCGCGGAGCTCCGTCACTCATAGGGGTTCCTCGGCTGAGCGGCCTCGGGGCGTTCGGCCCCTCACGGTGGGCTTGGGATGAGGAGTCCTGCCCGGCTCTGGGCTTCTCACCCCTCACGGTGGGCTTGGAATGAGGAATCCTGCCCGGCTCTGGGCTTCTCAGCCCTCACGGTGGGTTTGGAATGAGGAATCCTGCCCGGTTCTGGGCTTCCCAACCCCTCACAGTGGGCTTGGGATGAGGAATCCTGCCCGGCTCTGGGCTTGGAATGAGGAATCCTGCCCGGCTCTGGGGTTCTCAGCCCCTCACGATGGGCTTGGAATGAGGAATCCTGCCCAGCTCTGGGGTTCTCAGCCCCTCACAGCGGCCCACAAGGGCTGAGGGGCCCAGCCTGCCCTGAGGTGCTGAGCTCCTCACGGGGTTCCTCTGCCGAGGGGTCCCGGGGTGCTCAGCCCCTCTTGGATTGAGGAGTTCTGGCTGGCCTTGGGTGCTCAGCCCCTGGCACAGGCCTTGGGCTGGGGGGTCCCAGCCGGCCCCAGGATGCTGAGTGCCTCATGGGGGTCCTCAGTGCACACTGAGGCACCGAGCTGGGCGTGCTGATCCCCCACAGGAGCCTCTGGGTGATGCCCACACCCAGCCCCGGGGACGCTGAGCTTCCCCCATCTGTCCTGTGTTACCTGTGTGGGGTGGCTGGGGGGTGGGACAGGTCACAGCTGTCCCCAAGCTGGCTGTGTGTCCTTCCCGACACCCACAGCAGAGCTGCTCCAGGGTGGCTCCGAGCTGTCCCTGGTTTGATAAGGCAGACAGGGATGTGCCTGTGGGAGCAGGGGGGATTTGTGAGCTTCACAAGGGTGATAAGCAGCCCTCAGGTATCCTAAAACAAACCCATGTGGGGAATTGGATGGTAAAACCACATCTGTGTGAGCGTCACCTCTCTAGAGGTTTTCCCAGGTGGGTAAACTGGTTTCAACCTACTGGTCTGGTTTACAGGAGGACATGGTCTGGGGATAACGGGTTTGGACCTCCCTGGTTTCTGCAGTGACCTTGAGCAAGTGCTTTGTGTTCTGTCTGCAGCATCACCGCTCCCTGCACGCCAGGAGTGCAGCCAGTGGAGAGGCTAATTAGTGTTTGTAGGTAATGATTTCCAGGAAAAAGGTGGCTGAGCTCCAGCTCTGTACTGCTGTGGGATGCTCTGCTCCTCACAGAACTGCAGGATGGGTAAAGCTGGAAGGTTGGAACCTCCCTGCAGATAATTCCCTCTCTGTCACAGCAGGAGCTCTCTGCCTTTTTGGAACCTGTCCCAAATCTTACAAAAGTGGGGGTGGCACCTTTATAACAAACCTGCTAAAAATAGGGGGTGGGGTTATAATCCTAATCCAGGAGACCTTTCTCAAGGCTCCAGGGAAACCGTGCTTTAATCTTCTTTTCTTCTTCATAAGGGGGCTTTGCCTTCCCTGTAAAGCCTCTCTGCTAATCAGTTTTAATTTGTTTAACTCTTGTGATGTCTGTCCTTTGCTTCCCTGGTTATGTTGCCACCTATGAGGTAAAATCCAGGGTGAATTTAGCAGCACAAGCAGACTAGGAGCCATTCCTTGCCTTGGGACAACTCCTGTGCCCCCCTTGTCTTTTTGCAGCCCAGAGGGGTTTATGTGGCTGTTTGTCCTCAGTCCAAGGAGCGAGAGATAATTAATATTGTTAATTAGTTGGGCTGTTCTCTTGCTGATCAACTCTGCAGTGGTTTTGGTGGATTAGGCTGGATCCCAACCCATTTTTAGGAAACCCTCTGTGCTGGATATTTATAGATTGGCTGCTCTGAAAATGCCAAAACCTGACAAAAGGGGGGATAAAAAATTGAGCTTCTGCCTAAAATATATTTTTGTGACATTCCTGCTGCAGCCAGCCTGGAAATGTGACGCACCAATGCATCCCTGGAACCAAACAGAAGAGAGAAAGAAGCCCCATATCCACCAGATCTGGGCTTTTGGGGGTTTCTTGTTGCTTCACCTGTGGGTTTTGAGGGCTGTGGTGTTTGGCAGGGGTAGGAGGGCAGGAACATCGTGGGATTGCCCTGGCAGCTGTGGCAGTGTCCCAGGAGCAGCCTGGGGCAGTGGGAGCTGTCCCTGCCATGGCAGGGGTGGAACAAGACGAGCTTTAAGGTCACTTCCAAACCATTCTGGAATTCTATGAAATTCCCAGTTTGCCATCATTCCTCCTGTGAGGGCCCAGCCCCAGGATGGGATTCTTTGGGAGTGGCTTTTGTTGCCTCTCAGTTTTCCTCTGCAGATCTGCAGCAGGAGAAGGGATTCTCAAGGGAGGCAGGAGGAAACACCTGCAAGTCTTTAGGTTTATTTTTAGCTGTTTTGAAAGCAGTGAGCTGTGATCACAACCCAGGTGTCTTTTCATTAGGAGTGTTTTGGGGAAAGAAAAGGGAGCAAAGTGAAGTGGGGGGTCCCACTGTGGGAGTGATTTGGATCTGTGAGCAGGAGAAGGAGTTTTTCTGTCACCTTTGTGGTCGTGGGCCTGAGGTGAAGCTGTGTGGATCTGGTCCAAAGGAAGAGCAGTGTTCCTGCTGAAGGAAAGTGCCTGGAAGTGTTCCAGGTTGGATGGAGCTTGGCCTAGTGGAAACTGTCCTTGCCCACGGGTGTGGAATTAGATCGTTTGGAAGGTCCCTTCCAACACGAACCATTCCAGGACTCTGCACAGACAAAGTCCTTGTGACTGCAGGGACAGGGACAGCTTTGCTGCTTTCCATAATCCCAGCCCAGGAGGGGCTGGCACCCCTCAGCCTTTGGGGGTGTTGGCTGCAGCTTTTCCAGCCAGGAGAGCAGGGAGCGGAGGAGGAACCGCGGGGGAGATTAAAGCTCAGCAGGGTTCTTCTCATTGGCCACCTTCAAACTGCAGCTCGTTAATTAAGGCTTTAGGAGCTCACAAATAGCCCAGCTCTGTCCCCAGGAGCCCACAGCTGCTTTCCTGGGCTGGAAGGGAGCACAAGGAAAAGGTAAGGATGTGTTGGAGCCTGCTCCCAGCCCGTTCCTCTGCCCCCTTCCCAGTTTGTCTGGGATTGGATGGAACGATTGGAAGTGATTTAAATTTCTGCTGGTGTTTGCTAAGGGCAGATGGAATTTTGAGGGAGATGAGGGGAAAGCTCTTTTCCTTCTGGCTGGGATCTGGGACTGGGATTTGTGCATCCAGTACAGTTCTTGTTGGCACAGCTGGATCCTGGAAGGGAAGCTGGAATGCCTGGGAATCCATCTGGCACCCCGATGTCACTTGTGGGGGTTTTGGGGTGCTCGTGGAAGCTGCTGTGTGATGGAGCAGCATGGTTCGGGGGCAGGTGTGTTGTGAAGCATTTTGGGATGTCTGAAGGGTGGGGAATTTTTGGGGAGTGTTTTCCAAGGAATGCTTAGGGCTCACCTGATGAATTTTGTGTGAGGGACAGAGAGAGGGAAGTGCTTTGGGTAACTGCTCTGCTCCCTTGCTGCAAGCACTGAGTAGCATTTCCCTGCTGCATTCTTTTGTATTGAACATTTAGGCAAAACCTGTGATTTTTGGAAATTACAGAAGTTTAAAGACCAAGGGAATGGAAGGAAAGTCCCCAAAGGCCTTCCTAGAGTTTGTTCAGCCTTCTGGTTTTGGGATGATGGAGCCTACTCCGGCACTGTGGTGATGAGACTGATCCTCTTAAGATTCCATTTCTTGGATCTCTGAGGCTGCAGCTAAAAAAAAAAGAAGGAAAAAATGAATTTCCTTATGGGTGATTATCGACCGTGGGTGTTTTCACCGCCGCTGTTGGCACCTCCTTTGTGCATTAATATCCCTGGGATGAGCCGCGGCCAGACGAGTCCCCTCAGGGAGCAGAGGGAAAAGTTGTGTAATTCTCCGGCTGCCCGAGCAGGAGGATTTGGGGCCGAGGATGCTCCCGCTCGGCAGGCGGGGTCAGGGAGAGGGATTCCGGCGGGATTAGCCGCGGCCGCTCTGGTGAGACAGCGTTTGGCTTAAAGCTGTTGGAAAAGTGATGTGTAAGGTCAGGGTGACATTGCTGTGAGCTCACTTAGAATGGAAAGGCAGATCTGCCTCTTGGCTGGTGGCTCCCCAGGCCACACCCAGCCCGGGAGGCTGAGGAAATTATTTCCTTGCTTGCTCAAGTAACTTTTTAAATAGGAAGAACTTACTTGATTTGTTACACTCTCTCCATCACTTCTGGTTTGGAAGCTGCTGATGGATGAGGGTCCTCAGTGGTAACCCCTGCACCTTTTTATAGCATTTCTTCTTTTTCACATGTGGATAATTAACCTTTCCTCCTCTCCAGAGACACAGGAACAACACGAAAACACATATTTTTTTCTTTCTTTCTGGATGAAGAAACAACTGCAGGAAGTTCTGTGTGGCCCCAGGCTGCATTTTTTCCACCTGTACTAGGAACTGATCTCTGGGATCTTTTTCCTTCTTGCTGTGAAACACCTGCAGGTGGAGTTGGTGCTTCAGGAAATATGGGAATGAACACCTGGGCATGTTCATGGCAGTGGCTGCACCTGAGTTCAGGTGCTGTTGCAAGGGTTTGGGGGTTGGTGATACAAAATTTATCTGCAAACTCTCCTTGAAGCTCCTTTCTCCCTGTGAGAGGGAAGGGGCTGGGATTGTACCTCTGTCCCATGATTCCAAATGCCACCAGGCATCTAAAAATAGGATTTTTTTTCCTTTCAGAGAGAGTTTTCCTTAGGATTTTGGTCCCAGTGAGACCCAGCTGTGAGGGAAAAGAGCTGGCTTGAATCATCCCAGTTTAGTGGCAGTTAAATTTCAGTTTCCTCCTTCTTTGGGTTACATCCTATGAGTTTAACCTCAGTCTCTTGAGAAATGTTTCTGCACTCCCAGTACTTTTTATCAGCTCTAAGCTTGTGCTTTTGCATCATTTCAGATTTTCCTGCAGAAATTTGTACCCAAGGGTAAAGGATTGGTGCTGTTTGAGAGGCTGAGCACTCCTGGGAATCCACAGCTGCTTTTCCATGGGTGTTTCTAACCAGACACGTTTTTCTGTCTCTCCCCAGTCATGCAGGGACCAAGGCCAGTGGTTCTGAGTGGCCCATCAGGTGCAGGGAAAAGCACTTTGTTAAAGAAATTGTTCAAAGATTATGAGAACGTCTTCGGCTTCAGCGTCTCCCGTGAGTATCCAGGGATGGGCTGTGGAGGAGCTCAGCAGTGCCAGCTCTATAAATAGAGCTTGCCTCTATTTATACCCCAAAGAATGGTTTTTCATGGCTTGGCTGTGTCCCAGCCTGCCTGTGGGCTCTTGGGGATGTTTAAATAATTCAGGGCACCTCTACTCCTGGTATTGAGTGGTGAGCCTAAGCTTTGTCTGGAGTAGCACCTTTCCAGGTTTAGTGACTCCCCACATCTTTAAACACAACTCAGAGAGGAAACAAGATTCTTCTGAGTGATTCTGGACTGTGAAAGTAACAAAATCCCCCCACATTTCTGCTTCAAAAGCCATTTGATTTTTCCATGGAGCTTCGTAAGGTGTTTTTAGGTCCATTTCCAAAATGTATTTTAATGTCCCAGCACTTTGCGTGCTGCAAATAAAATCTGTGCTTTGAGATCTGGATTCACTCCACCATGAAAGAGCAAATACTGGATGCTTAAAAATATACTGTTCTGGGGAAAAAAATTATCCATTTTATGTGTGTGTCATCCTATGCTCCTTATTCAACTGCATCTCTCCTCTCACTCCAAACTAAACCTTATTTTCTCCCAAATTGCCTCTTGGTAGACATTTTTTTCCTAGAAATCCACGTGCCACTTAGACCTTGGCATTTCTTTGATCCTGCAACACCTGTGGGCGATGCAGAGAATTTTCAAGGCTGTTTTTTCTTTTTCCCTTTTTTTCCTGCAGATACCACAAGGCAGCCGAGACCTGGAGAAGTGAATGGCAAAGGTGAGCCTGTTGCAGTCGGGTCTGTCTCATTGGACTCTCCAAATAATTCAGGTTTTCAAAGCTGAGTTCTCATTTTAAGTACTGTGCTCTGAACTTGGGTGATTTCATTTTCCAAAGTTCCAGGTAGTTCTGAGGAGATGTCTCCAATGGCCACCACTTTGGGAAGTGCAGCTGCTTAATGTTTTAGCTGTATTAATACCTTGTACCCAGCTGTTTTCTCATGTATTTGCATGTTAAGAAACAACCAAATGAGGTTTATTCTTAGTTTCCAATGGCAGTTTTCCCTCTGAAATGACAGGAAGAAATTTCAACAGAAGGCAGAGAAATATTCCTTTTTAGTTAGTTTGGTGTTGATGTTGCCTTTTATCTCCCTCTCTCTCATCCCATTCTGGTCTTTAATTAGAAATCCTTTCAAATGAAAGGCCTTACCATTCCTGCTGTAATGTGTCCCACACCTGTAGGCAAGGGGGGAGATGTTCCCACTGCACTAAGAATGGCCAAGGATATGAAAAATGGGGTAGAGCAGCATTTTTGGCCACAAAGAAAGCTCCAGAAAGCTTTGAGCAGCTGTTTGGACAAGTGGTGTGGAAGCAGGAAGTGAATCATTGTCTAAAACAGATTTTTAGTGTCTTCCTCCTCAGAAAGCCATGGGTGTCATTGTGACCATGAACTTCACAATATTAATTTCTCTCCATTTTCCCATTTCCCCTTCTCCAGATTATCACTTTGTGACCAGAGAGGAAATGCAGAAAGAAATTGATGCTGGTGAATTTATCGAGCACGCGGAGTTCTCCGGGAATATGTACGGCACAAGGTAGGTCAGGTGTCCCTGCCTCTGTCACAGGGGCTGGAATTAGATGGTCTTGAAGATCCTTTCCAATCCAAACTATTTTGGGATTCTAGAAAATAAATACAGAATCTCTTCAAGCCCCTGAGGATGTGAGAAAATGGAGAGTCCCTCATGCGTAGCAGAGGAGTTGAAGTTCTCACCAATCCTTTCTGCTCTCTTAAGTCTCATCAGTGAATTTTAATAAATTATTAGAAAGCTTGGGGCAATTCCCCATATTGGGGAAGAGAAATTGTCTTTACAGCATATAAAAGCCACCACTTGAAAAATTAAGTGGAGAATTAAGTGACCCAGATGGAGCATCCATGTCCATCCAGCATGAGAGCATGTGGAGTCAGTGATTCTCTGGAGAAAGGGAGTTCTCAGTGGGTTTGCTCTTCAGTGAAGATTATTTCCACGTTTGTCCCAGAATCCCAGCATGGTTTGAGTTGGAAGGGACCTTTAAGATCACCACGTTCCAACCTCCTGCCGTGAGCAGGGATCTTCCCTCCAGGTGGTGAAGCTGTGCCGAGGCAGGAATTTATGGACAGTCCCACCCATCCTGTGGGATAGTCACACATGATCCCTTACCACCCATCCCTATGGGATGAGAGAGAGGGAGATAAAAGGGAAGGTCAAAACCTTCCAGCATGGCTTTGCCAGCCTCTGTAGCAGGAGACAGCAGGTCCTTGCTGCACCCAGAGCAGTGGCACTCGGGGAAACTCTTTATCAAGACAAGAGCAGGGGCACAGGGGAGAGCTGTGAGGTTGCTGCACCCCTGGGCGCTCTGACCCCTTCCCCGTTGCTGTGTCCCCAGTAAAGGGGCCGTGCAGGCCGTGCAGGCCCAGAACCAGATCTGTGTCCTCGATGTCGACATCCAGGGCGTGAAGAACATCAAGAAGACGGAGCTGAGGCCCATCTACATCTCGGTGCAGCCGCCGTCCATCGAGATCCTGGTGAGCGCCCGCCTTGCTTTGCCGTTAGCAGTTAGAGGTAATCAGCGTGCGGCTCTGCGGCCACGGCTCCCCTTCCTTCCCGGCCACCTCGGGTTCCTCAGGGCCCTGCAACTGTGGGCAGCACATTGCCAAGCTCATCTCTGCGGCAGGCACACTCCTCTCTCTCAGGATTTTGCATAGAGGAGCACAGGGGAAAGAAAGAAAACAATTTATATTTCTGCTCCTTGTTTTTCTCATCCGGAATGTGTTTAAATTGTTTACCTAGGGTAATTACTTAATTAGATTCTGGTGAGGATTGTTTGAGCTTGATGGCCAATCCAACCCACCTGTGTCTGGACTCTGGAGAGAGGGTCACAAGTTGTGAGTTAGATATGGTAGTTAGAAAAAGTAGGTTTGAAATTTGAGTATCTCCTTTAAATAGTCTATTACTGTATTATAGTATAGTTATAATAAAGAAATCATTCAGCCTTCTGAACTGGAGTCAGACATCAGCATTTCTTCCCACTGGGTTCACCTGGATTTACAATGATATCTCCACCCAGCCCAGTTCCCCAGCATCTGGGATAAGTCTTAAATGTTAAAGCTAAAGAAAACTTGGGAAATTAAGTGCAAAGCTCTCTAGGTCACAGAACAGAGACCTGTACAAGCAACAGTTACTGGATGCAGTGGATTCCCCCTAGAAAAAGGGATTTATTGCTGCCTTCAAGCAGCAATAAATCAGCCCAACAGCTTCTCTACAGCCATTCCAGAAGGGCTCAGCTCTTCAGGGATAACTCTTCCTGTGTTTTGTTTTTTGAGTCCTTCCTCAGCATTTTCCATGCTTTGGTTATGGACTCCATTGCAGCATGGCCAGTCTTTAAATGCATTAATTGTGCTTCATGCTACGCTGAGATTTGCCCCCACAGTTAAAATTAAACCAGGGAGGCTGGTTCTGTGCAGCACATTAAGTTCTGTGCCCCTCTGGTCTTGCCCTGTGTAAGTGATTGCAGTGGGACTCTTGCAGTGGAATCACTGTCGTGGTTCAGAGAGGGATGAGGACACGTGAGGACAACTCCTGACTCTCCCCTCTTGCTCTCAGTACATCAGGCAGGCTCTGTTTCTCGTTGAGTTTGTGGAGGAGGAAGCCAGCAGCACCAGATGCCAGAGCCCAGCAGAGAGATCTCATTTCCAGCAGTACCTGGAAAAATAAGTAAATGAGAGGGAGGTAAAAGAAACCTGGGGCCCTGAACTGTGGGTAGGAGATCTCAAGCCCAGTTTGGCCACTGGTTTGCACTGGGCTGTAAGCAAGGCCCCTGGCCCTTTGCAGGGTGTTCTCACGTGCCTGTGGTCACAGACAGCACCGGCCTGAGGGTGGGGGTGGTTTGTGCCTGCAGCTTGCACAACACTCATTTCTTTACTGTCTTTGTCCCTGGGTTTAGGAGAAACGACTACGGGACCGAAAGACTGAGACAGAGGAGAGTTTACAGAAGCGTTTGACTGCTGCCCGCGTGGACCTGGAGCTCAGTAAGTCCTTGGAGTGGTGTGTGCAGGGAGAGGCCTTGCCTGGGTGATTGGGGAGCTGGTTTGTGTGGGAACATCTGATTTGTGCTCTCCAGCAGCGCTGGCAGGGCTGGCCACGAGCTGAGTTGGATCACTGCTGCATTTCCCACTGCAGTTCCTTGGGGCGGCTGGCAGAGCAGTTCATTAGAGCAGCTGATCTAATAATAATGCTAAAAAATCACATTAAAATGCCACGGGACTTTGTGCACGAGAGCTGACACAGGGAAAAAAAGCTGTCCTCTAACTCTGTCCTCATCTCCTTCCCCAGGTAAAGAGCCTGGGCTGTTCGACCTGGTCATCATTAATGATGATTTAGAAAAGGCCTATTCTGAATTGAAGGAGGTGCTGCTGGAGGTGAGTCCTTGGGGATTTTTTCTGGGCCACACAGGTGAGAGTCTGTTCTCAGGCAGCTGCAGAAATGTCACCTCATCCCACACTTGCTCTGCTTTGAGCTGCTGAGGGGCAGATTGAACACAAGTGATGATGCATCAGTGGCCTGAGAGTGGGAAATGAATCCAACACAATCCTGAGTTGGAGCAAAAGAAACATTGATCCCTGTGTAGCAGAGAAGGGGATTCCTGTTTCTGGAGCTTCCAAGTCAAGCCTTGCCATGCCTCTGAAGCTGAACTCAGGGCTTGGTCCTGTAATGCTGTGGAGCTGGTCTGAGTTGTTGGTCACTCCTGATCTCCTGAGCTGTGAAATCACAAGTTGTTTCCCAGAGAGTGGCAGGTTCTCAGTCTCTTTCCTGATCTCCTTGCAGGAAATCAAGAAGACCGAAGAATCCAGGAAGTCCTGAGCTGGCCCTGCTTGGGCGTTTCAATTTTGCACATCATTCCCGAAGCACGTCGCAGCGTTTTATTCCAAAAGACATTCCCTTTAGGCTGCTCCTACCCCCAACTTACCCTAGGATGTTTATATTAAAAGCAAGGAAAAGGAAACCTGGTCATGCTTGTGCTTCTGTTCAGTTCATGCTCAGCATGTGCTCCCTCAGGTTTGTACCTCCGGGTTCTTCGGAGCTGCCAAAGCAGTGCTGATGTGCTTGGAGGCAGCAATAAATCCCTTTTCCTAGAGGGAATCCCCTGCATCCAGTAACTGTTGCTTGTACAGGTCTCTGTTCTGTGACCTAGAGAGCTTTGCACTTCATTTCCCAAGTGTTCTTTAGCTTTAACACTGATGTTTTCATGACATACCCAAGCCCTGGGTCCCTCCAGCAGGACATGGGGAGTGTGCTTGGGCTGGTTTCTCACACTGTGAAAACTGTGGGGATAAGCTGGGGGTGCTCACCTGGAGAGGAGAAGCTCCAGGGAGAGCTCAAAGTCCCTGGCAGGGCCTGAAGGGGCTCCAGGAGAGCTGGAGAGGGACTGGGGACAAGGGATGGAGGGACAGGACACAGGGAATGGCTCCCACTGCCAGAGGGCAGGGATGGGTGGGAGATTGGGAATTGGGAATTCCTGGCTGGGATGGAATTGCCAGAGAAGCTGTGGCTGCCCCTGGATCCCTGACAGTGCCTGAGGCCAGGCTGGATGGGGCTTGGAGCACCCTGGGACAGTGGGAGGTGTCCCTGCCATGGCAGGGGTGGCACTGGATGGGCTTTGAGGTTCCTTCCAACCCAGACCCTTGTGTGATCCCATTCCATGGAATGACCCATCTGTCAGAGCTCCTGTCCCACAGGTGGTGACTTCAGCCTCTGTGCCCCCAAACCGCACAGCCCACGAGCAGCTGGGCCCTGCAGTGCCGGGCTGGGATATTTTCTCACCCTAACCACATCTTACCAGAGCAGGTTTGTACCTAAACACTCCATCTTTGGGTTTCATCCTCCTCACATCCCATCCCTCCAGTTTGTCCAGATGCTCTGCAGTGCCTCTTGGTCCAGGTCACCTCCAAACCTCCATCCTCCACCGTATGGAGAGAAGCAGAAACCCCCTTTTAGTACCTTGCATTTACAGCCAAGAATTGATGATTATTTTGCTCGTTTACCTTCCTTGGATTGGTTTGATATATCTTTCCTAGATTTCCTAGAAAATATTGCTTCCTGTTGTGGGTTTCCCACTGTTGGTTCTGGAATTGGCTAAACAAACAGGACGATCCTGTGTGAGCAGCTGTGTCCAGGCTCTCCCTGCGCCATCAAGTGATGGGCTCTGATTATTTTTCCTTGTGAACCGTGGGATTTTGTTCGGATTTGAGGATTTGCAATGGGAAAAGGTCCCCTCTAGGTGGCAGGAACGGCGGCGAGAACGCGCTGGAGCAGCGGCGCAGGACGCGCAGGACACGGCGGCCGCCTCAGTCCGGGGCTCTGCGGCCACCGCGTGGCACCTGCGGGGCTGTCACCACATGGAAGTGCCCAGCAGCTCCCTGCGGATCCCTCCTGCCCGCCCGGCCTCGGCTCATCCCTGCGGGACGCGTGAGTGCACCGGGGATGGCAGCGGGGGCAGCTCTTGGGAAACGGGACAAACCAATCCTTTGGATGGTTTGTGTCCCCCTTCCCTGGAGAAGGAGAGGGAGAGGGAAGTCCGAAATGTCCCAGCCTGGTGGGGTGCCCCGCTGTAGCTGCCACGCTGGTCCCCAGGCGGGTGACACAGCTCTGCAGCATCTCCAGGAAATCATTTTGGGTGCCCCTCTCCATGTTTGGTGTTTTGGAGGGGCCGTGCATCGAATCCCAAAGCTGGGTGGGTGAAGGCACTTGTTGGAGTGAGTTTAATTCCTTCTCCCTCAAAAATGGGATGTCTGTGTTGTTAATTGAGTTTGCAGCCATAAACGCCTTTTGGGATCCGTGGGTTTGGTGCTGGCTCATTGGGGTGTTCCATTCCCACACCCCTGGGGCAGGCAAGGACCACGCTGAGCATGGCAGGTGTCAAATGCTGGGGTCTCCACAGCTGCAAACATCCTGTGCTCCATGTGGGGCTGGGATTGAGGGATCAGACCAGGAAAGTGAGGATACAGGAGCCTTCCAGCCCAGGGGGTGTCTGTGATTAAAGCTGCTCCTCCTGGAGGACCATTATCTCACTTAGATCTTCCAGGCAGGAAGGTGCTGTTCCCATCTCGGGGGACACCCGAGTGAAGGAACAGGCCTGCTCCTGGGTTGCTTCCAGAAATGTCAGAAATAGGGATTTTATATAACTAAATATTCACTGTTCCATCAGACTGAGATAAATTTGGACAGACTTCAGCTTTTTTCAGCTGAGATGCTTTGGGAAACGTGGCAGCACCTACATATCTGCTGGGAGAGGAAGAGGAGGGCAGGAGATAGTAAAAGCTGGGCTAAAACCTGCCCTGGGAGCTCTCTTGTCAGTGGCTGATGATATTTTGGAGCCGATGCCAAAAAAATAACAACACCCTGTAGCACTTTTGCTTCAAAGCTGTTGCTTGGCAGTCATTGCATTATTTTTTGCTGAATCCAGGCTGACACACTGCTATTGGGGCAGGAGCTGATTATTTTCCCCCCATTTTTCAATTTTCCTGCCCCCTCAAGCTCTTTGGCAATAGAAATACTCCTTCAAGGAGCGACTGTAGGGTCTGTACTCAGAGGTCAGCCTTGCTCTGACCCAGCAGCACCCAGCCCCTGCCTGGGAAGGATGTGCAGGGATGCAGGAGGGCAGGCATTCCCTAAAGCCCAAATAATCCAAGAAAAGCTGGAGCCACACTCCAGGACACCTTGAAGCAGCCAGCATTAGCCCAAAGCCCATTTTCCCCCATCCTGCTGAGCCCGGAGACTTGTCCTGGCCGTGGTTTTCCTCGGCATCTCGGGGCTGTTGGAGGCAGCTCTGATTTTCAGGCTTCCTTCCATTCCACTGCAGAAAGGCACCGCGGGGCAGAGCCGGCCTGGCAAATAATTGGGCAGCCGGCGTAGAAAATGAGCAACGAGGGGAAGAAGGAGCAGGAATAATCCTGATTTTCCTGCTTGTCCGGCTCGCTCCGTGCGCCTTTCCCACAGCCCGGGTATGGAAGTGTGAGGGGATGTGCTGGGGCACAGGGAGGGTGTGTCACGGGGGTGCTGAGTGCTGCCAGAAGTTATCCTGCGAGGAAAAACTCCTGGGATCTTCTGGAGAGGCTGTTCAAAGCGGGGAGGCTGTTAATTGCCACCTTTTTTTGGCAAAGCCAGCTCTCCAGCTCTATTCATGAGGGAGACATCTTCTAGGAAATCCTCCAGTGTGGGAACCCAGGGCTTCCCTCTGGCTGCCCTGGCAGGTCTGGGACCCTGGCAGGGGTCAGGAACCCCCCTGGACAGAGCCCCCAGAGACACTGTCTGTGATCTCTGTCCATGGAGAGGAGTTTTCAATCTTACAGGATGAATTACAAGCTCTGAGTGTTTGATATGAGTAATAATTAAGTGTGGCACGGGTGCAGAAGTAAAATTTTAGGTTTCTAGATTAGGGGTTCAGAGGGGACAAGATGAAGGAATTGGGAGTGTCTTGTCCTTTTCCTCCTTCTTCATGCCCTCCATGTTTCACTGCGGTGTTGGCATTTTTTTATTGGTTTAGGCTGGGGACACACTGTCCAACGTAGGTGACAGATATTGGCACGTTATTGTAAATCCAGCACAGGTAGTTTCTGGTATATAATGTTTGTAACATCCCACTGAGGGCAGAGCCCCACACGCTGCCCTGCAGGACAGAGCTGTGGCAGGGCTGCAGAACTTGTTATAGATATGCAAAAATAAACAACCTTGAAACAGCACAGACGAATTATGGCTTCTGCTTTGGCAACGGGGCAGAAAGACAGAGACTTTCTACAATCTCGGAATCACCAATACCCACAGATTCCGACACTCCAGCAGCCTGCATGGCTTCAAAGAGGAGGGCAGGGGATTGGGGGTCTCATCCTCATCCCTCCACAGTGGAGCCACCTGCCTGTGCTCCTTAATTCACCAGGGTGCAAAAACCTCTGGCAGCTCCCAGCTGCTCCAGAATGGATTGAGAGCAGTGGAATGCTGGTAGCAGAGGGAGGTGGGCTTGGGATGGGTTTCCCCAGCCATGTGGATCCCGGGCTTTTTTCAGGAGGTTGCAGCTGGGCTGGGTGGTGTGATCCATGCTGGGGTATCCTGATGTCCCTTGTGCTCTCCCACAGGACAGGGAGGTGACGTCCCACCCCAGCTGCTGCCACCTCACGCCGAGACTCCGACCAGCACCACCAACACCGACCACAGGTAGGTCCCACTATCCCACACCAGCCAAACGCCCTCCCTGGGATCCTTGTGGGACTCAGATGGATCCATGCCAGCATCCCTTGGCCGTAGCATTGCTCCTCCAGGGCTTCTCTCTGCTGGAAAGGAAGTTGAGTGGGAGGATGGAATTTTCTGCCGAGCATCCCGTGGCTCTGGATGCTGCTGGTGTAGGAATTCTGCCATGCCCATCATCTCCACGAGGCTGAGAGTGGCCCTGGCAGCCAGCTCAGGGGCTGGGCAGTGCCTGCCTTGCTGGGTGCTGTATTTGGGTCAGCCACATCGACTGGATGTGCAACTGTGTCATCCCTGGAGAGCGCGGGACGCCGATCCATAACCGCGGCCGGCTCCGGCCGGGATGGCACGCACGGCCCGCTGTCCTCACCCTGCTCCCAGCCCTGCTCCTCTGGGAACCCAGGGCATCCCTCTGGCTGCCCTGGCAGCTCTGGGACCCCCCTGGACAGAGCCCCCAGAGACACTGGCTGTGATCTCTGGCCATGGAAAAGAGTTTTCAATCTTACAGCATGAATTACCACCTCTGAGTGGTTGATATCAGTAATAATTAAGTGTGGCACAGGTGCAAAAGTAAAATTTTAGGACTCTAGATAAGAGGTCCAAAGGGGACAAGATGGAGGAAATTGGGTGTGCCTTGTCCTTTTTCTCCTTCTTCATGCCCTCCATGTTTCACTGTGGTGTTGGCATTTTTCTGTTGGTTCAGGCTGGGGACACACTGTCCAACGTAGGTGACAGATATTGGCACGTTATTGTAAATCCAGCACAGGTAGTTTGTGGTATTTAATGTTTGTACCATCCCACTGAGGGCAGAGCCCCACACGCTGCCCTGCAGGACAGAGCTGCGGCAGGGCAGCAGAACATGTTAGAGATAAACAGAATAAACAACCTTGAAACAGCACAGATGAATTATGGCTTCTTCTTTGGCAGCGGGGCTGACAGACAGACACTTTCTACAATCTCAGAATCATCAATAGCACAGATTCCGACATACTCCCAGTCTCCAAAACTCAGGAATCCACCACAGGCTCAGCTTTTTCCAGCAGCTGTGACTCCTCTTGTCCCGGACATGACTCCAGCCCTGTAAATAACCAGAAGCCATCTGCATTTCCCATTGTGCCGTGGCAACTGGTACAGCCACCGCAACAACCAGATGCTTGTGAAATCAGGGATGCATCCCCCCTCCTGTCGCCTGATTCCTCTCTGTCCAGCCACAAAAAAGAGGGAAAACAGGATGTTTTCCTGGGTTTTACTTTCCCCATCTCTGGAGATGCAAGGAGGGGATGAAAAGAAGGGAGGCAGAAAAGGCAGAATTCCAGTATCCAGGTGGAGCTGGGCAAATATAGATTTATATTCCTCTATTTCCACTTGAGGGGTTTATTTTATTGAAGCCATGTGGGAATAAGACCCCTGTGAGCTGGGTCCAATGGGCACAGGGAAGGTGTCCAAGCCATCAGCCCAGCATTAATTTGCAGATATTCCCTGAAGGAACAGGGGTTGCTGCTCCTGTTTGTATCAACTCTTGATGGAAAGCAAAGTGTCTGTGTGGTGGGCACTGAACTTTAGGGGTGGCCTGGCTCCCTAACGTGGGGTCAGCATGGAGGTGATGGAAAAAATCTCAAAAAGCCAAGAGCAATGCTCCAGTCACCACCAATGTGCTGACCTGGATCTGCTGGGTATGGAATGAGAAAATAAAGGAGATTTATTATTTTTCCTAGCTGGAAGTGCAGGATACATGAGGGGCATCCCTTGCTTTGAACGTGGCTGAAATCCTGTGATGCCTCCTGGATGTGGGGGCATGGACTGGAGGGAGAAAAAGCACCCCAGTTTGGGTGGAGAGGGGAAACTGGGGGCACAGCCCAGGGCAGAGGGATGATTTCCCTCTCTGGTGGGGTGTCAGGCTGTCCCCTGAGCAGGGAGGGTGATCCCACACCTGCCTGCATCCCCAGGAGCTGCAGCCTGGCTCCAGCACAGCAGTATTTCTAGGTTTCATTTGCCTTTTCATTTATATATATATTTAATACATAGTATTTTGTTCACCCTGTGTCTTCCCAATCACAGATGCTGCTGCTCCTTGGGGTCATCCCACTGCAGCTTCACCCCACAGCGTTGCTGTGGTGGCATCTCTGGGATCTTCACTGGGGTTTTTTTGTCTGAAACCCAGCCTGATCCCCTTTGTCCTGTAGGGATGGCATTTCACTGGTGTCCTTGCAGCAGCTCCTGGTGTTTCCAAAGGCAGGCAGGATCTTCCCTTGGGAATTCTCACCACTGTGGCTGCCACGGGTGTGCTGCCTTTGGCCTTGGGTGCCTCTGAGAATATTTTGGCTCTGTTTTCTCACCACTTTCCCATTTTAGAGTTTTATTTCTCAGTGAAGTCTCCCTGCTGAGCCTCCCTTTGTGCCCTGACCGTGCTCCCTGCATTTCCCAGAGCAGCTGTGGCTGCCCCTGGATCCCTGGAAGTGCCCAAGGTCAGGTTGGATGGGGCTTGGAGCAGCCTGGGACAGTGGGAGGTGTCCCTGCCATGGCAGGGGTGGCACTGGGTGAGCTTTAAGGTCACTTCCAACCCAAACCATCTGGGATTTTAAGATTCCTCCAGCTCCTTGGTGTGCTCTTCCCCTGGAAGCAGCATCCAGATACAAACTCCTACAAGAATCCCAACAAAATCCCCCTGGGAGAATCCTTCTGTTTGAGCTCTGTGACCTCCTCTTCTCACCCCAATCCTCCCAGTTCTGATTTATTTCCCACCAGATCCCATTTCCTTCCTCTCCTGGAGGCACCTCACCCCAGTGCTGCTGCCAAGGCAAAACTGGGATTCAAATCAAAGCCTCCTGCCCTTCTCCAGTGGGTGGCACGAAGCCTTTTAGGAGATCTCTTGTGAGAAATGAACTTGTGTAAATTTTTAAAATAAAATCTTAAATTTTTTTAAAATAAAATTTTAATTTTTTTAAAATAAAATAACCTTTGATAGAAGGTTTATATAGTATATATTTGTATGCAAATTTTGAGATAAGAAATTAGATTTAGAAATACTCTAGAATAAGTATTTATAGTATTTAGAAATACTATAGAATAAGATAGATACTGTTGAGAGAGAATTAGAAACAAGTTTTAAAGGATGGGTTTTATAAATACAACTAGATATTTTAGAGAACTATAAAAGATACATTATAGTAGAACTCACGAGAAGTAATTTTAGATTATTAGTTTTAAAGTATTTACAGCGCAGTGTGGTAAGAGTTGAGACACTTATATTGTAATTAAAAATAGTTTGATTATAACAGTGTAACTTATAACATCTGTATTATCTTAGTCTTCACATAAAATTAAACTTTTTAAAGCACTTCTCAGTTACTCTAAGGATAAAAGTTTTTAAAACACTTCTTAACTACTCTAAAAAAAAAAAACCACCTTAATGCAACACTCTTGGAGGGGCAGGAGCTTCTCCAGTGCCAGGAGCGGTGGCTGGGAGGGGACAATGGTGGCATTGAGGGGGACAGTGGCACGCTGCCGTATTGTGCCTGGCAGAGCGCTGCCCGGGCTGATCTCCGTGCCTTTGTTCTGCAGGGCTGCACTGCTGCTGCTGCACTGCTGCTGCTGCTGCTGCTGCACTGCTGCTGCTGCTGCTGCAGGGTCGCTCTCCCTGGTTATGCGCTGAGCGTCCGCAGCTCCGCGGGCTCCTTCTTCCTGCCTGGGACAGGTACGGCTGGGAAAGGGTCTCCTGGGGAAGGTTCTCCTGAGAAAAGTATGGCTGGGGGTTCTCCTGGGGAAGGTTCTCCTGGGAAAGGTTCTCCTGGGAAAGGTACAGTTTGGGGTTCTCCTGGGAAAAGTTGTCCTGGGAGAGGTACAGCTCTGGGGTTCTCCTGGGAAAAGTATAGTTTGGGGTTCTCCTGGGAAAAGTGCAGCTTGGGATTGTCCTGGGAAAGGTTCTTCTGGGAAAAGTATGGCTGGGGGTTCTCCTAGGAAAGGTTCTCCTGGGACAGGTACGGCTGGGGGTTCTCCAGGGAAAGGTTCTTCTGGGAAAGGTTCTCCTGGGAAAGGTATGGATTGGGGTTCTCCTGGGAAAAGTTGTCCTGGGAAAGGTACGGCTGGGGGTTCTCCAGGGAAAGGTACAGCTCTGGGGTTCTCCTGGGAAAGATTCTCTTGGGAAAGGTACAGCTCTGGGGTTCTCCTGGGAAAAGTACGGCTTGGGGTTCTCCTGGGAAAAGTACAGTTTTGGGTTCTCCTGGGAAAGGTACAACTTGGGGTTCTCCTGGGAAAGGTACAGCTGGGAGTTCTCCTGGGAAAAGTGCAGCTTGGGGTTCTCCTGGGAAAAGTACGATTTGGGGTTCTCCTAGGAAAGGTACGGCTGGGGGTTCTCCTGCAAAAGGTTCTCCTGGGAAAGGTACAGTTTTGGGTTCTCCTAGGAAAAGTATAGTTTGGGGTTTTCCTGGGAAAGGTTCTCCTGGGAAAGGTACGGCTGAGGGTTCTCCTGGGACAGGTACCGCTCTGGGGTTCTCCTGGGAAAAGTTGTCCTGGGAAAGGTGCAGCTCTGGGGTTCTGCGCCAGGGAAAGGTACGGCCCTGGGGGGTTCTGCACCAGGGTTTGGGATTGTGGCAGAGCCTAATTTGTCATGATATAGCATAATAGTTTATTATTATGGCAGAGCATAATCTGTTATTCTGGTATAGCATAATAATTTGTTATTATAGCAGAGCATAATTTGTTATCCTGATATAAAAGTTTGTTATAGCAGAGCGTAATCTGTTATTCTGATATAACAACATAATTTGTTATTATAGCATAGCGTAATTTGTTATTCTGATATAGCCTAATAATTTGTTATATGCTATAACAATATAATTATTATCATAGCATAACAAAATAATTTAATATTGTAGCATAACAGAATTTGTTATTAGGGTATAACATAATAATTTGTTATTATAGCATTATAACATAACTTAATAATTTGTTATTATGGCATAACAATAACTTGTTATTATAGCACAACATAATTTTTATTATGATATATCAATTTGTTATAGCGTAACATAACATAATTTTTTATTATGATATATCATAATAATTTGTAATTATAGCATAACATAATTTTTATTATGATATACCATAATAATTTGTAATTATAGCATAACATAATTTGTTATTATGATATAGCACAATAATTTGTTATTATGATATAACAACATAATAATTTATTATTATAGCATAGCATAATAATTTTTTATTACAGCATAATTTGTTATGATATAACATAATTTGTTATAGCATTATAACATAACATAATAATGTGTTATTATAGCATTATAATATAACTTAACTTTTTATTGTAGCATTATAATATAACTTGTTCTTATTGCATAACATAGTAACTTGTTATTATGATGTAGCATAACATAATAACTTGTTACTATAGCACAGTAATTTGCTATTATGGCGTAACATAATTATTATTAAAGCACAATGTAATAATTTGTTGTTATGATATAGCACAATATAATAATTTGTTATTATGGCATAACATAATTTGTTATTATGATATAACAACATAATAATTATAGTTATTTTGACATAACAATAATTTATTAGGTCGTTAGTTGTAATGAAACTAGTACTGATTTGTTTTTTAGCTAATACTCTAATTGGTTTAATTGTTTAAATGTTACGTTTGAGGTAAGTTGAGCTGGAAATAAATGTGATGTAAGTGGTTTTTTATGGTTTTAAGATTTGAAGTTATTGTAGGTTTTTTTTAATGATGGGTAAATTTTTTTAGTGTTTTATTTTTTAAAATGTTTTTATGGTTTTTTAAATGTTTTTATGGCTTTTTAAATGTTTTTATGGTTTTTCATCGTCACCTCCTAACCAGGACGTGTCTCTCTGGGGCAACACTGACGGGGAGGGATTGTGGGTTTGGGAGCAAAAAGATCCCAAAAATTCCTCACCCCGGGAGGCCATGTCACTGTTTCATTGATCCTTGTAATATATCGTGTATTTATTACATTTTATACATTACATATATAAAGGCAGCATTGAGAGCCATGAAAATTATAACTTCTTCCTAAGCCTGAAAAATGTTTTGCATTAAATATTTGCACAAAGATACAGAGAACCGACTCCACTTGGGCACTGGAGAATCCCTTAAAATTTGAATCCAGGATTTTGCTTGGACTTCTTTCATACAAGGCTTTGCTCAGAGTCTGATACAGAGATTTTTTTTTTTTTAGGAGCATATTTAAGGTTGTTTTTGAGCTGTGTGATCACAAAAAGGAATTCCCTATGCATTTTCTTGCCCAAAATTCCTTGAAATCCTCTGATTTGGGCTGAACTTCGGGCTCGTGACTGTGCCAAGGGCAGCAGCAGCTGCAGGAGCAAGTGCTGTGGTGCTGCCTCTCCTTCTCCCTCCTCCTCCTCCATCCCTGGAGCATCCCAGGAGCTGATTTCCTCTGGAAAATTCCTTCTGGGATCACAGAACCCCTGCACACTCACCCAGGCTGTTCCCAGCTTGTTCCTCCCCTAAAGCAGCTGGAGAGCAGAATCACACTTGAGAAATTCAATTAATGATCCAAACTTGGCTGCCCCATCCCAGCTGTTCTGAGCAGCAAGGACATCTCTTAAAATTTCCTCAGACCAGGAAAAACGAGTTATTTTGAGGAGTTTCACATGGTGGGAGCTGCTCAAGGCATGCTGAGGGTGGTGTATGTTTAAGAGATGGAGAGCCACCAGATTTTAAAGGTTTAGAGCCTTCTCCATGCCAAATTTGTTCAGTTTTGGGGTTTTCTTTCATTACAGCGAGTAAAACCTCACTGATTTGGACTCCTGGAAGCCAAATCTCCCCTCACAACGTGGGGCCTTTAAGGAAAACATCAATTTTTGTGAGGTCAGCCATAAAATCATGCGGGTTGGCAACGGGAAGGAGCAGATGGAGACGTGCCAAAGGTTGTGGCCTCTGCGTGGGGCAATTATTTAATCCCTGTTTGTGGGTTTGTGTCAGGGGCAACGTCCCCCCCTCTGCAGCAGAGATGTGCACAGGGAGGGGAAAATCCCTCTGGATGAGAGGAGGAAAATGTCCCTCTGTCCCCTTCCAGCTGTTTTCCCTTCCAGCTGTTCTCCACAGAGCAGGGAGATGCTTCCAGCTGTTCCCCCTGCCCTGCAAAGCGGAGCTGGGAAGGGAAAACTGGGATGAAGAAGGGCTGGGATAGGTCAACAAAAACCATTAAAATACTAAATTTCAGCTTTGGGCATAAAAATTGGGGGGGGGGGGGGATGAAGTTTTTTGGTGGTGCTGTAGCTGTAAGGACAGGGAGAGTTCGTAGCCAACTTTCCACCAGGCTTGGAGCAGAAAGGAAAAGAAATCCCAAAGAAGGAGGAAACATTCTTATCCTGCTGCAGCACCTCCGCTTCCCGCCTCCCTCTCCTGCTCCAAGGAGCTCTTTTTGCTATTTTTAGCCCTAAACCCTTCGACTGTTTGAATGATCTGATTTTTTTTTTCCATGAGCACCGCTCTTGGCTCCGTTAAGAGCGAGCGCGAGTTCTTCATCTCGCTCTCTTTTTTATGGCGTTTTTCACGCTGGCTGAGAAGGAAAATCCAAAAATCCAACCAAAGGGAAGCCGAAGGAATCCTTGCTGTCCCAGGGAGCGCTGGGGTTGCAGATCCACAGGAGTTTTCCCTTCTCCACGTCAGAGCCGTGGCGGGGTGGGAGGGAGGAGGAGAGCGGCGCTGGGAGCGGCACCAGACGGGATCCACGCACCCACAGCTGGCCAGGATGGGACAATTTTGGGAAGGACAGAGCCCAGAGCTTCTCCGTATGTTACTTTTGTGTTTGTTTTGTTGTGTTCTCCCTCCTCCTCCTCCTCCTCCTCCTCGTGTTGATGTTTTGCCGGTGGGTTTTATTTGTCGCGGATCCCCTCCCTGTGCTGTACCACCCCCCCCTGCTCCCACCCTGCTCTTCATTTTCTGCCCTTTCCCGATTATTAGGGTGGGAAATGCGTTTGCTGAGCCTGAATGTTCATCTGGTGCCTTTCCTGCCGGGGTGAGAGCCACAACATCCCTATTTGGCATCAGTTTGTGCACACTTTGCTGGCATGAATCATCCCCCGGCACGCAGGGCACTGCAAATCCACCTCCAGGGAGTTTGGGATTAAACTAGCAGTGGTTTAGCTTTTTCCTCATGGAAAAAGGATGAAATTCTTCCCTGTGAGGGTGCTGGGGCCCTGGCACAGGGTGCCCAGAGCAGCTGTGGCTGTCTCTGGATCCCTGGAAGTGCCCAAGGCCAGGCTGGACAGGGCTGGGAGCAGCCTGGGATGGTGGAAGGTGTCCTTGCCATGGCAGGGGTGGAATGAGGTTATCCTTAAGGTCTCTTCCACCCCAAACCATTCTGGGATTCTGTGAAACTCCTCTGTGCTCTGGGACCTCCTGGCCAGTCCCTTTCCAAACCTCCTCTTATCTCAGACCACCCAAGCTGGGGGAAGGAACCCCAGATTCTGATCCTCCTGCTGATCCTGTGTTACATTCCTGAGGTTTCTGCAAATTTTGGGATCTGCATCCTCCTGGCTTTGGGATCATCCCCCTGCTCCTGCATCCTGAGCTGGGCTTTGAGGCCAGGCACAGCTGGAGAGCAGCAGCCATGGGGGCTCATCCCAGCAGAAGATGTGGATTTGCAGCTGGGGTCTCTAATCCATGATAAATTTACCTTCTCTGTAAGGTGCTTTTGGCTTGTTTTTAAAATAAGATCCAAGGCTGTGAGCGCCCTTTTCATCCTCACATCCCAAACACCTTCCAAAGGCTGTGTTCCCTCCTGTGCAGCCGGGGAAACTGAGGCAGGGGGAGCTCGTGGCTCAGCAGCATCACCACCCGTGGGAGCTGAACCTGCTTCTTGGTGGCCTCATCTTCTTGGCCAACCTTCCTCGAGAGAAAATTCTCCTTTGGCTACCAAACACCCAGGATGCTCCTCTGGGGTGGGATCTCCAACTTGGATCCCTCCTCCCCACCTCAAGCCCCTGAGATGAACCTCATGGGGAGATGCTGTTGGAGTTCCACAGCTTTTAATTGTCCCATCCTTCAAAATCCTAAAGAGCTTCCCCGTGGCTGATGGACGACCCTGAGTTATGTCCCTTCTACCTCCAGATCTCTGCAGATTTAGTTGCCACCAGTGTTTGTCCAAAGGATTTCCTGGAGAGGGGGGCTGGAAGGAGCTCCTGACCCTCCTTGTTCATGAGGTGGCCTGGGACACCACTCCTGTCTCCATCTCCTCTCTCCATCTCCTCTCTCCATCTCCTCTCTCCATCTCCTCTCTCCATCTCCTCCCATCCCAAAAAGCCCTTCCCATCTATCCCAAGCACAGGTGCTCAGCTGAATGGATTTATTTGTGTCCTCTCCTGGTGGGAGGTGAGCAAACATTCCATTACCCCCAAAGGGAAACAGAGATCCTGGAGATCCTGAAATCCTGGGAGGCCACAGGCACCTTCTCCTTTCCCCCAGATTTCCTTGGAATGCCACAGGAGGGCAACCTGCCCTGTGCCTGAGCTTCCTTAGAAAGTCAGAGGGAGGAAATCCCGACCTAACCCAGCTGCAGACAATGGGAAGCGGAAAAGGGAGAGGCAGATGGGGAATCTGCACCTCGTGCTCCTCCTGCAAGCTGGGAGAGCCATTTCCCAGACAATCCTTGGGTCTTGTCCAAGACCAAAATACCAGGAAGGGTTTTTTGTGTGTGTGTGTGTCACAAGGAAACCCCTCCTTCCCCAGCAATATGTTGTGCACCATATTCCTGAATGATCCCAGTTCTGGGGAGGACTCTCTTCTGCTGTAATTTATGGCCTGGCTGGAGTTCTTCCACCCAGTGTCCATCCCAAGGGTCAGTTTAAGGCTGCACAGCTCCCTTTGACCCGCTCTGTCCCTTGGAGATTGTGACCAGCCACGAAAATCCACGTGGTTTCTGCTCCTCTCTGCCAGGGCAAGGGAAAATAAAGGAGTTTTTGTGGGATTTCTGCACGTTGCAACCTGGGGCTGTAGCAGGAGAAAACAGGGACAATGGATAGAAAAGGAGGAGCCCTAAGCTATAAATTAAGGCACATGAGCAAAGTTTAGCTCCCTGCCTCTCCCATTTTTTGATCCTCAGAGGGTGAGGATCCCATGCCCCACTCTGAGCTGTCCCTGAGGAATGAAGTGACTTTGTGAGGACAAGCCAAGCCCTGGAGCAGGTCAGAATTGCTCCTGTAAGAGCTGCACGCTCTCTTTCTTGTGCAGTTTGACTTTGTGCTCCTTCTCCATCCATCTGCTGGGGAGGATGCCAGCTTTTCCTGGCTCCCAGTGGGTGTGGGGGTGTGGGAAATGCTGAGCAAGGTGGGGATCTGAGGGTGACTTGTGCAATCACACATCAGCAGAGCCTGAAGGTCCCTCGGGAGGTGCAGATGCCACCAGCTCCCCATGCCAGTGTTTGTCAGGGAGGCTTTTATTTCCTATCCACTTGAAATTCTTCTGGCTGCATCTTGTCCTTCCATGGTGTGTTTTTTGGGATGTCTGTGAGCAGCACAAAGCAGCACAGCTTCCCCCCAGCACCTCCCCACACTCGCTCCCATCACCCTGATCATGAATGACCCTGGGAGGTGCCACCACCAGCTGGGCCCTGTTGGTGGCACAGGGGGTGACAGAGTGGCACCAACTGCTCCACACACAGAGTCAGGACAGTGGTGAGGCCACAGGACCCGGTTTTCTGAGCACCAAAGTCCCCATTTCCCCAGAGATCAGGGACGTTTCTGCACAGCGAGGATTGAGGGAGCTCAGCTCAGGCTGTGCTCCCGCTGTGTGTTGTTATTTTGACCCTTTTTCACACCCTTTTAAACCAGCCCGGAGCTGTGCAAGTGGGATTGGTGTGAAACACAGGGCAGGGGGCAGCGAGCCCCCAATGGGATGGAAATGGGTAAAATCACGGGAAAACAGCCCTGAAATGGGGCTGGCATCACCTCCAGCCCAGCCCTGAGCACCTTTGGGTGCTTCCATCCCTTCTCTGTGCCACCCTCCGGATCGAGGCAGGGCTGATCCCCACCACGACCCCAAATCCTGTTCCTACTGCTTCCAGCTGCAGGGAACACCTACTACACATCTGGAAGCCTCCACTTGGGAAACCTGAAGTCGCTTCAAACATGCACCTGAGCCAAATTATTCCATGTCAGAATCTGAAGTATTGATGATCCCGAGGTTGTAGAAAGTCTCTGTCTGTCAGCCCCGCTGCCAAAGCAGAAGCCATAATTGGTCTGTGCTGGTTTCAAGGTTGTTTATTCTGTTTATCTCTAACATGTTCTGCTGCCCTGCCGCAGCTCTGTCCTGCAGGGCAGCGTGTGGGGCTCTGCCCTCAGTGGGATGTTGCAAACATTAAATACCAGAAACTACCTGTGCTGGATTTACAATAACGTGCCAATATCTGTCACCTACGTTGGACAGTGTGTCCCCAGCCTAAACCAACAGAAAAATGCCAACACTACAGTGAAACATGGAGGGCATGAAGAAGGAGGAAAAGGACAAGACACAGCCAATTTCCTCCATCTTTTCCTCTTTGGACCCCTAATCTAGAATCCTAAAATTTTACTTTTGCACCCGTGCCACACTTAATTATCACTTATATCAAACACTCAGAGCTTGTAACTCATCCTGTAAGATTGAAAACTCTTTTCCATGGACAGAGATCACAGACAGTGTCTCTGGGGGCTCTGTCCAGGGGGGTTCCTGACCCCTGCCAGGGCAGCCAGAGGGATGCCCTGGATTCCCACACTTCCAGGCACGTTTTTATCATCCTTTTTTTTTTCTTTATTTTTTTTTCCGTGCCGGTGACAATGGCTTTGCTCAGGGCTCTGCCCAGCCCTTTCCTATGCTCTGCCAGACAGAAATAACCAGGTTGGCTGAGGAATGAATGCCCCTGTTTCCTTCCCCGGGGAGGAGCCGCTCTCCGGAGCCGTGTGCGATGTCTCCGTGACCCGCTGCCCTGTGCAGCTCTGCCCGGTGTCCTGGGGGCTCTCTGCAGCCACGGCAGAGGCGCTTTGCCCACTTTGCTCCTTCTCCGCCTGCCCTGGCAGTGCCCCAGGAGATGCGAGCCAGCTCCGGCTCTGCGCATCCCACCCAAAACACAGAGAGCCGATAATAAAAAGCCATGCTGGAAAAGAGAGAGAGGGAAAAGATGATGCCATAATGCCACAGGCCAAGCAAAGCAATCCTCGTGTAGACACAACCTCGCTTGGCAGCGTGGCTGCTCCCGGAAGATGCCCCAGGAAAGGGGAGACCACCGGGGCCAGCACCCTGTGTGAGCTCGGTGCCCCCGGGCTGTGCCAGGGACACCCCGGGCTGGTTTTCATTTATTAAAAAAAAATATGGATATTGATCTAGTATTGATATCCAACTGTGACGGACAAAAACTCTCTAACAGTTTAAAGTCAGAAAGTGTGTGCTTATTGTGTTTATTGTGTGTGGGATCGCTCCCAAATACACACCGCACCTTACAGAGCCTTTTTATCCATACAAGTATTGAATACACAAAATACAAATACATATTCATAATTTTGGTACATCCCATTCCCCGCTTCGTATGCTAATCACTCCAAAAGCTATTAAGCATGTGTGGTTTGTCCCTTGAAATGGGTCGGAGGTCCCTTTTATGGGGAGGGGTCCCAAAATGAGGGAGTAAATGAAGTCTTCCTCGTTCTGACCTTTCTACCTTTTCAATGCAAATATGACAAATCAACTCTTGGTAGAACTCCCATTCCTTGTCTTCAGTTGGTTTCAGTACAGAGGAGGCCCACAATTGTCTTATGTTCCT